GGTTTCAATGATTAAATACCCTCATGTGAAAGTTTTGTTTTTTTGTTTTGGTTTTGTCTTGGTCATTGATAAAAATATTAAAATGTACAGGGCCAAGAACCAAACCCTGTGGGATGCCACTAAAACCACGCACGCTTAATGATGATTGCCCATATATAATTCCAGTTTGAAACCGTTCAGTACCCACCTTTTAGTCCATTTTGTGCCATGTTAATTGGGTATCCTTCTAGTTTCTTAATCACAAAGGCAAAAGTCAAATGAAAAATAGTCCCTGTCTTTAAAAAAGAGGATAAAGAGGACCTGGGAATTGTAGACTATATACCCTAACTTTATACCTGGAAAGATACTGGAACAAATTATTAAACTGGTTGAAAGACTGAACTCAAAGACTAGCTCTCAGTGAGTCACGTTCAAAGTGAGGGAAAGTGTCTAGTGGACTCCTGCAAGGGTCTGTGCTGAGTGCAGTACAACTCAATCTTTTCATTAATGACATGGATACTGGATTGGCGATTACACTTACAACATTTGCAGATGACACCAAGGTGGAAGATGTTCCTAGCACTTGGGAGGACAGGATTAAAAATCAAACCAACCTTGACAAATTGACGAATTGATCTGAAATCAACATAATGGAATTCTATAAAGACAAGTGCAAAGTACTACACGGAGGAAGAAAAATACCAGATGCACAGCTACAAAATGGGGAATAACCAGTTAAGCGTTAGTATTGCTGAAAGGATCTGAGTGTTATCGTAGAGCATAAATTGAATATGAGTCAGCGAAGTAGTTGCAAAAAAGGCTAATATCTTACCGAGGTTATTCACAGGAGCGTTGTATTTATAATGCGGGAGGAAATTGTCCAGCTTTGCTGGGCACTGGTGACGTTGCAGCAGCAGTACTCTGTCCTCTTCTGGATTCCACACTTTTAAAACAGTCAAGTAATTGGAGAGGATCTAGAGCGAAGCAAGAAAAATGATAAAAGGGCTAGAAAACCTTACCATGATCAACGGTTTCAACAATAGGCACGTTTAGTCTTGAGAAAAGAAGACTGAGGAGAGAGCCCATAACAGTTTTCCAATATGTTAAGGGCTGTTCTATAGAGGATGGGGATTAATTGTTCTCCATGTCCACTGAATGTAGGACAAGGAGAAATGCACTTAATCAGCAAGAACGGAAATTTAGGTTCAATGTTAGGGAAAACTTTCTAACTATAAGAATAGTTAAGTACTGCAATACATTACCATGGGAGGTTGTTGAATCCCTGTCAGTAGAGGTTTCTAATAACAGGTTAGACAAATGCCTGTCAGGGATGGTGTAGATTTACGTGGTACTGCTTCAGCGCAGGGGGGGTGGACTAGATGACCGCTCAAGGTTCCTTCCAGTCACATAGCTCACCGGTTACAAATTAGGAAATGTATTCCTTAGAAGCTCCTGGCTTCATTCCCTTCCATCACAGACACCCAACGCCTCCCCTTCTATTGAACAGAAGAATAGTTTGAATGGCTAAGTTTTATATCAGTTGGATCAATCAGTTTAGACCTTCAGGGTCTGG